TAGACGTGTGATAACAACATGTGTTCTTGTAGTGTTGAATTTTTTTTAATGCAATATTACATTACGAATACCATTTTTTCCACCTAAATTATTCTAATGTGATTGACAATCGATGGTAAGCGCCTACTCATATACTAAGTGTTGCCTTTTCTGGAAGTTTTCGTTGTTTAATTCTGATGTTATTCCCTTGTCTCATACATACATACAATACAACAAAGCGCATGTTGTTCCAGAATTATCGAACTCATAAGAGTTTGTCAAGTCCTGTCCGAACCAAATTCTGAATGTTTGATTGTTCACAACCTCTAATGGAGGCTCAAATTCTGGAAAAACAAGTTCAGGACTCATATTAGTTTGGTTCGTTAAATCGTAGCTCATYTGTCCAAACAGATTATGAAATTGCGTTTTGTCGGGAGGAGGCGCAATGACTGTATTATTATTATAAGTTATTAATATTTCGAGACGTTTAAGGYCAAGTACAGTGGTTCCCCAGTTTCCCTTGTKTACTTGACCGAAGTTGGAAACGCCTCCTGATTGGTGGATAAGCTTGAATGTGCGGACCCTTCCGGAATTGGGAATGGTGAACTGGCCAAACTTATCGTCACGTGATCCTATGCAAATTGGAAGACTGCTGAGTGGCACCCAGCCTGGAAAAGAGATATGAATAACGTGCGTTCAATCGGCCATACTGCATTTCGAAGAAGATCACACGTTGTCGGCATACTAGGTTCTTATAGTAATCTTTTGGAAAACCAAAAAGATATCTTTATGTTACATTCAAAAACTTATACATAATTAATGAGTTATTAGACCAATAGAATGAGCCTATTTAGTCACATGCATAAAGAATACTAATATGGGTGACCTTTATCAGATATAAAGGTCCATGACCCTAGCAAAGGTCTGATACCTGATCATTGACCAATGCAGGATGTCAACCGATTCTAGTAAAACAGCCACCAGCACTTCTATTTTACTTTACCCGTATTCAATGTGTGCCCCATTTATCTCAAAACTTATTTTTACGGCAATTTCTCCAAGAATTTAGGACGACAGAAACGACTAACGAGAACTGACTGCTATATTGAAGGCATTAAACTCTTGCGACTAAATTTTAAAACTCTAAAAGAGACCATATCACCGTTTACGAGAGACCTACCTATGAATTTCGAGCAATTTTGACCAGAATAATTCTTCAAACAAGAGCAGTTATAGCCATCTATCATATTCAAGCAGGTTGCATTGTTCGCGCAAGGGTTTGGCTGGCAATAATCAATATCTGTTGAAATTAAACGAATTGTCGTGAAATATACTCACCTAAAAACGTACAACGATAGTTCACCATGGAGATATTATAGACATAAACTAAGTGTTTTTATCAGACACACAAAAAATCATTATAGAAATATATCGTCATTACAGTGTTATCCCTCACATAGGAAAAAACGAAACAAACTCACCAACAAAAACGATAAAAAAGCGAAAATTACAAAAAAAATAAAAAATGAAAAAAAATAATAATAATAATAGTATCCGGCAGCTCTTCATCTTTTCTTAATGTCGAGCACATGAAAGCATTATAGTCTATTCCACTTGAAGCCTTTGAAGGTGATCAATCAACACTGTTGCTATGGTGATATTATCTACCAAAAATATGGCTCAGTTAACTCACGTATTTCGCAGTTTTCTCCAGTGWAGCCAGGTTTACACACACATCGATTTGTGCCTTCGACAAAATTGATTCTACATGTCATATTGCGATTGTTGCAAGTGCAGTTGTTCTGCAAATAAAGATGATTAAATACAAATTAAAAATAACGCTTAAATGGCAAACAATCTCTGAGTGTTTTGAAATAGCTTGGAAAAAATACCTCAACATTGTTGTAGACCGTTCCATAACTTTCCTTTAAGTCGTCTGGATGCATGAAATGATCTGAGTCACTCAATTCACATATATAAGGTCTTAAAGCTTTACTTGTGTGGAAGTTGTATGAAATGCATCGAGATTCCATGTAACAYTGAACTCGGCARTTCGAAGAATCCACAGATGGAATTGTCTTAAAGGTGTGACGCTYCAACATTTTGCCATTGAGTTCATCATTGAATRTTATTGTTTTGCATCCCTCTRTTTTCGATAAATAATAACSTTTTACAAAAGGCCTGCAACATATATCATCAAAGTAACATACTGTGAACACAGCTGTCCTTTTACAAGACAGAAGCTGGTTCCACTGAGCTGAACTRACCACACACTGRGCAAAAGACCACACATCAACAAGTTAATGTTTTACSAACCTTTTTGAGCAGTAGAGGGATGAGGAAACRACCAAACCAAAACTATGAAAGCTATAAGACACCTTTGAAGAAAACTGTCGGCCATTATGCCAGGCTACAAGAGCTTCAGCAATTTACAGCTGTTTCGTATTCTTTAGCTCGCAAAATGAACAGCATATAAGCACTTATATTGGAGCACACTCAATATTTCGAAACGCTAAAAACATAAATGTTTTCCTTTGTATATACTTTATAGGGTATTTAAAGAAATATCTTTTGTCTTTTTGAACCGTAAATTGATTTTGATAGATAGCATGATTAAACTCACTATCAAAAGAGACTTTGACTTTTAATCACTGACCCAACTTGTCAGGATTTCGCAGGCTCAGATTCTAACCATTCAAGGAAGGGGGGGGGGGGGGGAGAAGTGCGCAACTTTAATCTGAAAAAGTATTCAAACTGGCCAGAGAACTATGGCAAAAAAGTTTTGATATATGAATAAATTCAAAAGTGAAGTTTGTGTTGATACTCAATCACCGATCCTAAAGAYTTCTRACTGAAAGTTACAGCCTCTCCCAWTCTCAAGGCCAAGGGTATTTTATRTTTCATCAATCATTTGCAAACTTTTTCTGCGAAACTTTAATATGTTTAAAACCTGAATATGTTTTAAGGGAGTCACTTTTATTGGCTAGTCACATGACCGGCCATGTGACATTCTAGAATTGTCAGTTGAAATTTAGTTGAAAACTAATGACAAACATCCTTTCTAAGTAAATTAGYTTTAACTCTTGGCTGAGAATGGTYGGCAATCACTTGCCGTTAAGGARRTATTTAGTGAAAAAGGTCACGTGACCTAACTTCCCTTCTGAACTGAAATCAGTCGATTTCTCAGTAATAGTGATTTAACTTGGCTTAATATTTTGACGTCGAAAATACTTTTTGTAAGCTGAGTAGGCTTTCATATAAAACTTTCCGTGTTCCCATGTGTTATGGTTTTACTTCCGCTTATTCCACTTCCGGTTTGTATCATTTGCATACTTTATGTAAATTAAGAGCAAAAATGTTCCTTGTCATATGTCAATCATAGCTGATTTGGTGAATCAYAATCCTCCTTTAAAGTAATATTGCACTTGATTAAACTAGAAACAAGAGATTATGTACCTTTAATACAAAAGCGTGTTACATGTGTTCAAAAAAATCAAAAGAAAAAAGGGCAAAAAACAAAAAAATGGGTAACATTTTGAATGGTTACATATATTGATATTGTACTAACAGTCGATATATTTCTTTATTCTAGTAAAATATGAACTAAAACTATACATTTTCCGTAAAAATTGGCTGAATGTTAATAAGTTGTTTTTGCCGGGTGTACGCATGAGGCAAATACATGTAAAATACGTTACTGCTGTTCGTATTTCATATTATACAAAGTAAGTTCGAGCTATATTTATCTCTCTGGATCCATGAAAGTCATTGGATCATTTAATAGGTATCC